GGGCATCACAGTCAGTGATGGTAAACTCCTTTAGTTGTCGGTCACCGCTTTTTCTCACTCTCCTTTCTTTAAGTGATGGGAGGCTGTCGCTCTTAGTTGTGTTGGTTTGCTTTGTCAACAGCTGGTGTCCGCTTTCCCACCAAAACCACCTGAACGATGTGGTAGTTTTTATTCTGCAGGGAATGAGTCAGCTACACTTTTACGGATTCTGTTTGGAGTTCGGAGTTCTCCGAAGGACATTCAGACACGTAAGTTAAGACAACTTTGCACTCGAAGTACAAAGTACAGCTCCTCCTCTCTGGATTAGTACCTCTGTCTCAAACTCTGTGCTCCCTGGCAGCCTCACTGAGTGAGCAATAGGTATGGCAGAAGGCAAAAAGGAGAAAGATTCAGAAATGTCATGTTGAGATTAATTTAGTCTCTGGTTATCTTTGATAATCTGGACAGAATATTTATTGCCAGATTATAATCTATAATTCTCAGGTAGATATTGTCCTATTAAATGTGTATTTTTCTACTTCTGAAAAATCACAAGACTGGGTATACTTAAAACAGAACCTAGATTGGCTTTTCTGAGAATTTTGAACATATTGCTGAGCACTTCCTATAGGCTGGGCACTATATTCATCTCAAAGGAGCACTTGTGACTCTTATCAGCTAAGCACTGGACTGCTATCCACAAGGTCAGTGGTTCAAACCCACCAGCTGCTCCTAAGAAAAAAGATGAGCCTTTAAGGCTGTACAATCTCAGAAAGAATCCACTTGATAGCAATGGGCTGCTTGGGTTTATATTAATCACAAGGAACCTTGGTGGCCTAGTGATTAAGAGCTCAACTGCTAAACAAAAGGTTGGCAGTTCAAGCCCACTATCTGCTCCATGTGAGAAAGATGCAACAGTCTTCCCTGGAAACCATATGGGTAGTTCTCTCTGTCCTATAGTTTGTTGTGAGCTGGAATCAACCTGATGGGAGTGGACTTGCTTTAATATTGTCATATTGCATGCATCACTCAAAATGCTAAACAATTCTATTAGGGATAGATACTTTATTCCCATTTTACAGATAAGGAAACCTAGTAACTTGGCCAATCACAGTAAGTGGGAGAACTGAAAGTGAAGCCCAGGGAGGCAGAGACTGGAACTCTCTCAATCACTGCTCCTCTGTTTCATTTGTCCTAACTGACTGGCATGGGGTTTAATGGAATAATACATGTAGAAGTGTTTTTCAAATACATGAGGGACTTGTTTAAGTTCCATATTTCTGTAATGTTCATCTTTTTATGATGTGTAATCAACAAAGCAGGGAAAATTTCTGGAAGTGTTATACATATGGCAAACAGTGAGGATCCAAACTTTCCATATGACTGCACTCACAATAAAGTTCCAATGTTTTCCAATATTTTAACTGCTTTCAGGAATTTTTTATAAAATGTCTGTTACGTATTTTCAGAAATTCCACTTGCCTCCTCCATCATCTAATTTTTTAGCTGATATCATTGGACTTCGAAAGAGACAAGCAAATGGGAGTCATCCCAGGATGGTGGACGGTATGCTGTGACTAATTGATTTATAAAACTGATCATTAAAAAAAACCCTGATCATTATGAAAGATATTATGACTGTGCTTATATGTAGGATAATCAGCCAAGTTTCTTATTATAAGAAATAAACCTCATAACTAACTTAAACAGAAAGGAAAGAATAAATTTCAAGACAAAAGGGGCAGGAACAAGGGGAGCCTGAATAGAGAACCAAGGCAGGGCTGGTGGCTGTCTTAGTTGTTATCTAGTGCAACTGTACCACCAGTACAGCCAGTGATATGTTCACAGACAGAAAGAAAGGTGCGCTCTCGCATTCAGGAGCTGGAAGTCTGGATTCAGGAGAAGGCCGTTGGGGAAGGCTTTCTCTCTGTCAGCGCTAGGGGAGGATCCTTGTCTCATAATTATCAGTGGGCCTGGCACTCCTTGGAGATCTCAGTGTCTGGGCACAGGGACCTCGGGTCCGAGAAGCATGCTGTGCTCCTGGTTCTTTCTTGGGGATAGGTCCGTCTGATCTGCACTCGCTCGTTTAGTCCCTTCTACATCTCAAAAGAGATTGACTCAAACTACAACCTAATCATGTAAATTGCATCTTGTCTCATTAACATAACTACTCGAATCCTGCCTCATTAACATGGAGGTGATGATTAGTAATATGATAATTTCACCCGATTATAGAAATAGATGATAATGCTATAATACCGACAACCTTACCCCAACCAACTTGAAAAATACTAGAGCAGAGGGTGGGGTTGAGGGCAATTTAAATCTGTAATCTTCACCCTTTGGCCCTCAAACCCGTGTACCTGCCATATATAAAATACTTTAAATCCATCATGCCATTACCAAAATTAAAAAATCATCTTCAAAATTTAATAATATTTTAAATCCATCATGCCATTACCAAAATTAAAAAATCAACTTCAAATAAAAAATTTGGAGCATAATTCCTCTTTATCTGTGAAACTACAATATGAGTTATCTTCTTCCAAGTACAGTGGTGGAATATAAACCAGATAGGCATTTCCATTACACATAGAAATTGGAGAGAAAAAACAGGATAATAGACATGAAACAGGTCTAAATTAGCTCTCAAGGTTTGAGAATAATCCTCTGTCCTTTGTGACTATCTTTGCAAGGACCTCACCCTGGAGGTTGGTCATTTTTTTTTTGGATGGAGATTATTTGGCCCTGGGCTTCAGTTCCATCTTCCAGGCCTACTGCGACAGCAACTCTCTCTGCTCTGGGTGGCCCATTCTAGCCCAAATGAGTGTCAACTGCAGGTCCCCTTCTTCTGCTCCTTGGGCATGGCAGCCTCATCCCCTTTGCTGTGGGCAGTGGGTCTGGGCCCATCCCGTACTCTAGACCAAGCTGGCAAAGATCTGACTCTTGGGAACCTGGGAGGCCAGGCCCCAACTCTTTCTGTTAATACCATTTTGTCTTTAAGACAGCAATCTTCCATTTTAGGATTGCTTTGTCTATTTCCCCATCTTAATCTGCATGGCTCCTTCTCTTTGCCTCTAGAGCTTTTCCTGATGACCATATATAATGTAGAATCTTTTTCCTGCCCCAGCAATCCTTATCAGTCTTGCCCCTACTTTCTTTATAGCTCCTATTGCCACCTGTTGTGTTAAATATTTATTACTCATCTTCCCAACTAGAATTTGAGGTCCGTGGGATATTTTGTCAGGCTTATCACTGGATAATTTTCAGCCACTAGAACAATGTCAGTTATAGAAGAAGCTGTGACAAGCAGATTCTCTTGAAACACCAGTGACCGGCCTAGGCAAAAGTATAGCTTTCCCCTTTTCCTTTCATAGCCTTTCTTTTATAACCCATTTGGGACTTATTCTTGTAACCATATAAGGTTGCCAGCTCCTTAAAAGGGGTGACTGGGTCTTATTAATCTTTGGGTGTGCACTGTGACTTGCCTAAACAAAGTTGAGAGGTTTCCTAAAACACATTCTAACAAATGTTTAATTATCCTTGTTTTAGCGTCTTCACTTCCTGTCAGTGTAAAAGGCAGCATCAACCTGCAGAATGACCCCATCATTCAAAAGAATGGCTCTAAAAGAGTGGGCTTGACCCAGTGTCTTCTGACAAAGGAGGAAATGAAAGCGTTTCACTTTCCATTATAAGGCTGGTGTGGATGTCATCTGGCCTTAGTTGACAATGTAAGAATATTTAGCAGTTCATTTAAAAATTTTACAGTTGAAAATTAACCTTTCATGACTGCTTTCCAAGTGGTTTATTCTGAGTTACTCCTTCTCCCATTAGTAAGAACATTATTTTAAGTAAAGTGTTTCCCAAGGTGTGAGATGCAGACTATTGGTAAAGTGATGGTTTTATGTGGTAAATGACCATACTATAAAAAAGTATTTGAAAATATTCCTTTTTCAGTTCTCTTTCATTCCTTCTCTTGACCATGTAGGCTTGGTTGCCAGATAAAAGTACAAGACACCGGTGAAAAAGTACAGCACTGGAAACCCTGTGGGGGAAGTTCTACTCTGTCCTATGGGTTTGCTGGCCAACCAACTGGAAGAGACCCATATTTGTACACATTCCAAAGATAGGTGGCCCAGCGGAATGCTCCGACTATAGAACAATATCACTGATAACACATGAAGTAAAGTTTTGCTAAAGATCATTTAACAATGGCTGCAGCAGCACATTGACAGGGAGCTGCCAGAAATTCAAGCTGGATTCAAAACAAGATGTGAAAAAAGAGTTATCCTTGCTGATGTCAGATGATCTTGACTGAAAGCAGGGAATACCAGAAAGATGTTTACTTGTTTTGTTTCGACTCTTCCAAAGTGTTCGACTGTGTGGATCATAACAAATTATAGATAACATTAAGATGGATGGGGGAGTGGGAATTCCAGAAATCTTCATTGTGTTCATGTGGAATCTCTACATGGATCAAGAACTAGCATATCAAACAGGACAAGGGCATTCTGCATGGTTTACAAACAGAAAAGGTGTGCATCTGAGTTGTATCCTCTCACCATACTGGTTCAATCTGTACGCTGAGCAAATAATTCAAGAAGCTGGATTATATGAAGAAGAACCCTGTATTAGGATTGGAAGAAGACTTATTAACCACCTGTCATATGCAGGTGACACAATCTTGCTTGCTGAAAGTGAGGGGGCCTTGAAGTGCTTGCTGATGAAGATCAAGGATTGCAGCCTTCAGTATGGATGACAGTTCTGACTCAGCAACCCCACAGGGTACAGTAAAACTGCTCCATGAAGTGTCTGAGGCTGTAAATCTTTATGGGAGCAGAAAGCCCTATTTTTGTCTCATAGAGTGGGTAGTAGATTTGGACACCAGCCCAGGGCTTAATCCACGGAGCCACCAGGACTCCTTTGAGCCATCCTAGTGGCTATAAAGTGATATCTCATTGTGGTTTAATTTGTTTTTTCCTGATGACTGATGGTGTTGAACATCATTTTATGTGCTTATTAATCATTTGTATATCTTTGGAGAAATAACCATATATACTTGTGTATAAGCCAAGTTTTTTAGCACATCTTTATGCAGTTTTTGTGGTAAAATTAGGTGCCTCGGCTGGTATTTGGGTCGGCTTATACTCAAGTATATACGGTAATATAACCAGATTTTTTGTCCATTTTTAATTGTCTTTTTACTATTGAAATATGAGTTCCTCATATATTCTGAGCACATCAGACTTTATTTAAGTGTTAAAGGGCATCTGTAAAATGGAGTTAATAGTTAATATTCCCTGGGATCACCATATGGATCAAATAAGCTGATGTCTATAAGTGCGTAGGTGCAAAAAATATTACTATTGTTGCTACTATTGAAATGGTGAGAAAGGTATAGTGAGTCCCAGATTTTGAGATTCCTTTATTTTCTGTGTTAGCCTATATTTTTATTGTTAAAATTCCAATTGTTTCTGGATATAAGGATATACAAAGTCATTGAAAGTTTTCATCCTTACCTTTGTTTCCTGTCAAACAAAATCTGGGCATCCCTTTACTCAGTGGTGGGATTCAAATAATTTAACAGCCGGTTCACTGACTCTAATGAGTGGGTGAAGAAAAACTTGGGGCAGCCATTTGCTTAACCTCTAAATTTATGTCTGGGACATACATCAAGAAGGTTCCGTGGGCAGTAAAAAAGAAAGTGCCTTAGCAAATGAGGTGTTTCAAGTATGCCTGGATGACTTCAGGAGTCATGTTTGCATCTCTGGGTTTTAAAGGCAAACATTTTGTTCATTTTTTCCTCCTAGGTTTGTCTGACTGTGAAGACTTTGTACCCACCCACTGTGATGGTCCTGTAATGAAGAGCAGCCCTCTCTTTGGACTTGACTGTGAAATGGTAAGTTCTACTTTTGATTTTTCACCTGGAGTGTCCCAAACTCTAGTTTGAAAACCACCTGGGTCAAATGAAAACAATTTATGGAGTCTAATGTCCTAAGATTCCTTTTTTTCTCTCTCACATTTTAGTAAACTTGGATCTTTACTTTAGGAGGAGCAGTAAATAGCACACATTTTCTATGTAGTTGGTAGGTTTAATCAAGTCTTTGCACATTACTAGAAGTTTGCTTCTCTGAGTTTTGGATAAGTATACACCTGACTTTTGGACAAATGGTTTGTGATGGTTAGTGTTATTGCCTTTAGGAACTTTGTTCCGTGACTTGTTTGGCTTTGCATTGTTTTTATACACTGAAGATCAGAAGGGAAATTCCTCTGCTTTTATTCCATTTACTTTATTTAATTCTAATTAGTTTTCTTTCAAAACCAGCACATTCCTTCTCACTTAGTACTCAGGAAACATTTCTACGTTCATGAGAGGGGCTGTTAATAGCTCAGGTTTTGAAGTCTGACTCATAAGGGGTTGTAGCATGATTTTAAGGAGCCCCAGTAGTGCAATGGTTAAGTGCTCACCTGCTAACCAAAAAGGTCAGTGGTTTGAACCTCTGAGAATCTCCAGATGCTCAAAATTCCATAAAGGTTATATATCTCATAAACCCTGTGGGGGTAGTTCTCCTTTGTTCTATAGGATGACTTGAGTCAGAATTGCCACAACAGCAAAGGATAAATCCTGACTTTGCCTGTTAGTGCTTGAGACAGTTTATTGTGCCAGCCTGGCCAATAAACACAAGTGGGATTAACTGAAGGGCGGAGAGATAAATGGCTCAGTGAGCCTCGCCTTTCTTGTTTCTCGCTCTTTGATCATCGGACCAGTGTGCGGCTGCCTTGCTTGTTCTGTGCCTCAATTTACAGGCTACACTACCTGTGGGACGCCTAGCCTGTGAACTGTGTCGCTGTAAGTTGAGGTCCCTTTAAGACATCTCTGGAGCTGGGGACTGGCGGTTGGTGACCTGGCTGACAGTTGGTGACCTGCCTTGTGATTGGCTGCTGTGCTGAGATAGCCTAGCTCTCTCTATATAGAGGAAGACCTGGCAACAGACTAGACTTGAAGGACTGCTAGTGTCTCACAACTCTCTCTCACGGGAGTGAGTTGTACTGAGCCATTTGTAGTGCTTTATAATTTAACTGTTCATTTCTTGTATTATATATTTATCTATATATAATTTAATAGTTCATTTCTTGTGTTATATATATAATTATCTTTATAAATAAATATATTAAATTATCAGCAACTTGGTTTTATCTCTCTAGAGAACCCTGTTTAACACAGTGCTATATAACCTTGTACAAATTTCTTAACTTCTCTGATCCTCAGCTTCCCCTTTCGCTCTTTGTGAAGTGGGGGTAGTAAAGATGTTACTTATTAGGATTATTATGAGGTATCATCCAAAAGTACTTAGTACAGTACTGGATGGTTAATTTTAGAGAACATTAAAAAGGTCATGAAAATAGAATTAAAAGAGAGTGGGTTCTTTGAAACCCCTCATAGAGAATGCTTCATAAATAATGGGTCTATGTAGTAAACACTCAGTAAATGGTAGATAGTGTTCTAAATGCTATTAATCCAGTTCTTCTTCCTTGACCATATCCTTCCTAGAGAAATTGGAGCCTGCTTAGCTTTAATTTCATTCCTCCTGGATCCAGCCTCTAGTCAGCAAAAGACTGTTCCATTGTTTGAAGGACCCCAGTAGCTTAGGCAGATAGATGGCCACTGGCAGAGCCTGAGTGATGAGAGGAAGCAGGAGCATGTACTGCTCAGTTGTCTTACTACTACATTTTGATGTTTCAGTGCCTCACATCCAAGGGCAGAGAACTAACTCGCATCTAGGCTGCTGTGTTATGGATGAACTCGTTAAACCTGACAACAAGATTGTGGACTATCTCACCAGGTATTCCTCATTTCACCACCAGTTCTTTTAAAAAAAAATTTATTTAATCAGTTTATTGGGGGCTCATACAACTCTTATCACAGTCCATCCATCCATCCATTGTGTCAAGCACATTTGTACATTTGTTGCCATCATCATTCTCAAAACATTTGCTTTCTACTTGAGCCCTTGGTATCAGCTCCTCATTTTCCCCTTCCCTCCCTGCTCCCCCCTCCCTCATGAACCCTTGATAATTTATAAATTATTATTATGTTTTCATATCTTACACTGTCTGACGTCTCCCTTCACCCACTTTTCTGTTGTCCATCCCCCAGGGAGGATCACCTCCAGTTCTTCCTACTTTTGTCAACCTTCAGCGGAATGAGACTTAACAGGAACAGCTCATAGCTTCTATTTAGTGAGGTACTATGTAAGTACATAAGGAGCCCTGCTGGCGATGCCATGTTTGGTTGGGCTGCTAGCTACAAGGTCTGTGATTTAAACCTACCAGTGGCTCTGCAGGTGAAAGTTGAGGCTATCTCTTCCTGTTCCTGTAAATATTTGCAGTCCCAGAAGCCCCATACAGGGTCACCTGTTAGTTGGGATCAAACTTAAGAGTGGTAGATTTTTTATATACTTAAATATTATCAACCAAGAACAAAAAAGGTTGAAGCAATGCATCTGTAGATTTTAGTACTGAAATTGCACAATGTCCTGCCCTTTTTGTTCTCTTATGACCTTACATTAGAATACTCTCATCCTTGTCATAGACTCTCCTAATTGTGATTATGATTTCATCACTACGAAACAGCTAGAGCTTGGCTTTCGGTCAGATGGCCTTTAAAAAGAATCTGTTACCCATTGTCAGTCATACCTGAAGAAGTTATCTTTCTCAACACACCTCCCTTAAGAGAAAACAAAAGGTAGTTCTCCCATAGCGGAAATATAGAGCTCTCAATCAAAGATTTACATGTAATTTCGAATGTATAGACTGCCCCCATTCATTTTAGGCAGAGAAAAAGCCAGTGAAGGACTGAATTTATAGAGATCTATTATGCTTCCTTAGATACAGAGAGGCCAGGCTAGTGGCATTGGCATGAATGTGTTATTAGCAGCCTTGATAATTAGGCAGTGTTTGTAGGGAGCAGTCATGTAGCAGAGATGTACGTATAAACATCTTTATACAAAGGATTATAAAAATATGGGCAAATAAGTGTTTGAATGTAGGGGATTGGAAGGAATATTCTATAAGTGATATGCTAGAATAGATTTATGAATATGAAGGCTTGCTCATGATATGTAAGGGGGTATCCAAAAGAACCAGTTTTTTTTCTTTTTAATAATGATTTTAATAAATAATTTTATTGGGGGCTCTTACAGATCTTATAACAATCCATACATCAATTATATCAAGCACATTTGTACATATGTTGCCATCATCATTTCCAGGGAATTTTTTTTCAAAGCTATGTATTTAAATGTTTTTACAAAACAACCTTACCCCCTTCAAAGTATTCTCCATTACACTTAATAACATTTGTCAAAGCTGTGATTCCATTCTTGGAAACATTTTTCAAACTCATCTGTTTGGATGGCTGACAGCTCCTGACTCTTTTTTTCCCTTCATCTCTTCTATATTGTCAAATATCTGTCCTTTCCCGTCCCTGTTCATTCTTGGAAACAAAAAGAAGTCACATGGAGCAAGCTCAGGTGAGTCAGGTGGGTGGGATGAGAGAGGCTTGCTGTGTTTTTGTCAAAAACTGGTGCACTGAGAGGGCTGCATGACCAAGTGCACTGTCATGATGGCAAACCGAGTCCCCCATCTGCCACAAAGCAGGCCCTTTTTCCGCACAATGTTACACAATCTTTTCAGAACCTCTAAATAGAAAGCTTAGTTAACAGTCTGACCTGGTGGAACGAACTCCAAATGCACTATCCCTCCCACATAATAAATAAATAAGCCTTATCTGATCTTTGATTTCACTTGACAAGTTTTGGGGGGCAAGGTGATGATGGTGTATTTCACTGACTAGATTGATGTTTGCTTTTGGGGTCGTAAGAATAAAACCAGTAATAAAACAGTCTGGGTCACTTTGGAGCTGTTCTTTCAAATTACAGCAGGTTTCCACTCAGTGCTCTCTGTCCTGTTCAATCAGAACCCACCAATTTTGCAGGAACCCTTTTCATTCCCAAATCTTCCATTAAAATTTGCTGAACTGAACTCCAAGATCTTCCACATAACTTCCCCATCTCTTCAATGGTCCATTGACTGTCTTCAAGCACAAGTGCACGAATTTTGTTTGTCCCCCTGGGGCGTGGGGAAAGGGGTTAGTGTGTTGATCATTGCGATCAGTTCCACCTTCCTCCTCTCTTTTCCCTACCTTCCCTCTTCCCTCCTGGTATCACTACTCCCACTTCCGTTGCTGAGGGGTTCATCTAACCTGGATTCCATGTGTTGTGAG